TCACTTACTCTGTGCCAGGCACTGGGCTAGGCTTCTAGGAAGTAGACACATCAATGTCATCCCCATTTTACAGATGAGAACATCGAGGCCGAGAAAGCCTAAATGATTGGCCTGCGCTGTTCACCTGGAGCGTCTGAGTGTCAAGCCTGCTCTGGGAACCACTGGCCCAGCAATGTCCCCACAGCAGGTAGAGCAGCAGGTGGGGGTGTCAAGGGGCTGAGAGTCCCTTCCAGGAGAGACAACCTCATGGGGATATCTGGCCAGTCCCTCTAGATGAGCCCATGAATCATGACCCGTGGAGGCCCCAGCGCCACCCCTGACTTTCCTTCTTTTATCTTTTTTAAGATTTTATTTATTTGAGAGAGAGAGAATGAGCGAGAGAGAAAGCACATGAGGTGGGGGGAGGGTCAGAGGGAGAAGCAGACTCCCTGCCGAGCAGGGAGCCCGATGTGGGACTCGATCCAGGGACTCCAGGATCATGACCTGAGCCGAAGGCAGTCGCTTAACCAGCTGAGCCACCCAGGCGCCCCTGACTTTCCTTCTGACCCCAGAGGCCCAGCAAGCCATTCCTCCATGCACTCAGGTGCTGTGCGGGGGCCAATGAGTGACTCATCGAAGCTTACACTGAGGGCTCGTGCTATCTGTAGGGGCTGTGGGTGACTGTTAGTCCCATTCCAGAACACAGCGTGGGACGTGCCTGCATAGAAGGGATGGGGAGTGTGGGAACATGGTGCAGGAGCCATTCTTTCTGCCTTGGGAACTTGGAGACGGGGAAGGAAGCCTCTATGGGAGAAGTGCCATCTGAGCCCATCCTTGAAAGCTTCCTGGTATCTCATCAGGCAGAAAAATGGGGAAAGGGCATTCTAGGCTAACGCACAGCCTGAGCAAAGGTGTGGGAGTGGGAGGGGCCTTGGATGAGGCCGAGGAGGGCTCAGCTCTGGGGAGCGCAAGTGGGGCTCTCAGGGCTCTGCGGCCGCCACCCTAGGGAGTGGGGTGTTTGAAGATTGGGGAGCTGCAGTGAGGCAGTTAGTTGATGCGTGTTTGTTGAGCAGTTCTTAGGAGCCTGGCTCTGTAATAGGCGTGAGGGGACCGAGATGACTTCAGGCACGCTCACCCATAAGAGCCTGGCTGGCCCGCTTACTAACCTGGATCCAGCACCTTTCCTTCCTCAGACTGGCCTTCTCCTTCCATAAAACAGGCTTTACTGTGCTTGTCACCAGATGACAGAGCTCTTTGAGGTCTTGGGATGAAAGATCCTGTAAATATGGAGCCCTGTCGCCAGCCGGGGCAGGGTGGAGTTGGGAGCCCACATCAGATCCCCGAGAGGATAGAGAAACAGCCCCTGGGGGGTGGGAGGGCACCAGGATCCTCTGAGGTTACCCCCCTCCACAGCTGCCAAACATGTTCCTGCTGCCAGGAAGCCTGACATTAAAGTCCTCCCCATCCCGCCCCCCAGCAAGGACACTGCTTGGGGTGATTAAATGACAGACGCCGACACCCTGTCTGCTGACCCATGCTGACAGCCGGGAGGGAGGAGTAGAGGTGGCCTTGGCAGCAGCGAGGTGGCTAGAGGCTCTGCTGTCACTTTCGTGTTCCTCCGACAAGGGCACACTGAGTCCCTGACTCGAGTAGTCTGGAGCTGGGGCAGGCAGGCAGGTACACAGGTCATCCCACCTCCATGTGGGACAGTCACGTCTCCCCGACGTGACCATGCGTCCGGGACAGACCAACAGCCCAACCTCCTCGTCTTCCCAAAGATCTCCAGCAGCAAAAGCCCTTTGTGTTGGAGCAGTTTCTCTCCTCACTTGACCTCACACATGAGGAAACAGAGGCCAGAGGGCCTTGCTGACTTGTCCAAGGTCACGCACAGGACAGTTGTAATTATTCACGTGAGGAAAATGGTTCCGAGAGCTCAAGTGGCCACCCCAGGGTCACAGAGCAAGCAAGTGGGACACCTGGCCTGGAGCCAGGGCTGCGGGTCCCGCTTTGCTTTTTATCATCCCTACACGGATGTGAGACTTCCTATGGCTGCTCTGGGTGAGAGCAGGAAAGTGCTAAGTGGCCCGGGGGTGGGGGGGCCCCGCAGGCCAGGGCTGGGGCAGGAGCCCACTTTGGCTCCCCTGGCTGAGCTGTCCGTTCCTCAGCATCTCCAGCAGAGCAGGCAGGGCGCCCAGGGCCCACGATATGGAAATGGTTTCATTTTCATCCTTTTAACATCAGAAGAAAAACTCCGTATAATCATAATAGTAAATATTTACGAATGAATCAAGCCTAGATTGCAGTCATCTTTCTGCCAGCGTGGTCCTAACATATATGTTTAAATATATACATGTATTTTTTTTATAAAGGAAGGGGGCTGCCAAGGCAAAAGTGCCTGGTGACAAAGAAAGCCATCACGTGGCCCCCGCTGCAGGGGCTGCGTGGTCAGCCACTGAGATCTTGTTCCAGGGGACGGACGAAGCGGTCCGCCTCCTGCCCCGCCGCTGGGTACGAAATGATGAGGAGAAAAGGAGGAGCAAGAATGGCCACATGAATGGCAGCCACGCAGGGAAGAGCCCCGAGGGGGTGAGAGGTCCTGAGGGAGCCGGGGGGGGGGGGATAGGTGAGGGGCCCAGAGAGGGGGAGACGGGTCTGCGTGTGATGGGCGGCGCGGCGCAAACACGGGACACCCGAACAGTGAAGCCAAGAATTTCTCCCGGCTCTCACTACTTTCCTGTGGCTGTGGTAACAAGTCGGCACAAATTTAGGGACATAAGCAACAGAAACGTATTCTCTCACAGTTCAGAAGACCAGAAGTCTGCAATCAAAATCACTGGACCCGAAACCCAGGTGTCAGCAAAGCCGTGCTCCCTCCCGAGGCTTTAGAGGAGAAGGGGGTCCTTGCCTCTTCCAGCTTCTGGGAGCAGCCAGCATCGCGCGCCCCATGACACCATCGCACACAATCTCTGCCTCCGGGGTCCTGCTGCCCTCTCCTCTTCTCCTCTCCCTCTCTCTCTCTCTCTCTCTTTTTTTTTTTTTTAAAGATTTATTTATTTGAGAGAGTGAGAATGAGAGAGAGAGAGAGAGTATATGAGAGGGGGAGGGTTAGAGGGAGAAGCAAGCTCCTCGCTGAGCAGGGAGCCCAATGCGGGACTTGATCCCGGGACTCCAGGATCATGACCTGAGCCGAAGGCAGTCGCCCAACCAACTGAGCCACCCAGGCGCCCCACCTCTCCCTCTCTCTTAAAGAACACTTGTAATTACATGTAGGGCCACCTTAATAATGCAAGATAATCTCCCTTTCTCAAAGTCCTTCATTTAATGGCGTCTGCAAAGTTTTCGCCGCTTTCACTCACATGCACAGTTTCCAGGGATTAGGACCTAATATCCTTGGGGACATTATCCACCTTCTCGGGGCCCCCAGAGGCAACACGGTTTAGGAGGGACCTGCCTCCAGCCGGCAGAAGGCATGCCCCAGGAAAGGGTCCTTCTGCTGAGATCCTCGGAGAGTGAAACAGGCCTGCAGGGGAGATGGTGAGATACACTCGGCTGGAAATGACGAGGACAGGACCGGGGAATTAAGTAAGTGCCCAGGGGAGAAGGTGTCAAGAGAGGCCCCTGGGAAGCTGGCCCTACATCTGACTTGCGTTCTCATTTCACTCATTCCACGGTCAGCAGATAGTGAGCCAGCCCTGTCCTCAGGGTCTAACCCTTGTCTTCAGGATGCTGCAAGCGCAGGTGAGGCCCCCCTCTTTTCCAGGGGGAGCAGTAGAGGCCCAGGAAGGCCGGGTAGTTTTTGTCTGGAGTGCTAAGTTGTTAGCCCAAGGGCTTCACTAACCCCCCACCGCCCCGCACCTTCCTGTCCTGTCTCAGTAATTTTGTAATTTCTTGTCTCTTCCTCTTGGTGCTTTCTTTAATAGTGAAATAACCACAGTTACCCTTAGAAGAACTTGCACAGGAAATGACTCCTCCCGAGCTGTGCACTTGCTGCATCTGTAAAGTTGGCGGGAGGCGGGCTGCTGGAGTCTGGCAGCATTTGACCCGCTCAGTATCTATCTATCACACGAATCTGAGTGAGGGAGAGGAAGAGGTAACCAGCCTTGCCTTCTCGGTATCAAATGTAGCAAACTCCCTCCTTAAACTGGAGAAAAACTAAAAAAACAAAACAAAACTGGAGAAAAACTTCTGCAGTGAAACTTGGGGGCCCTGGGAGCAGACTGGGAAGTGCCCGAGCCTCCTGCCATGTCTGGAATCCCAAAATCAACCCTAAAGCGGAAAAATCAGACTTGGACGTGAAGAGAATCTCCTAATCTCAATTCTGCCTCTTTCTAGCTGTGACTTTAAGCAAATCCCTTAAAACCTCTATGAACCTATTTCCTAATCTCTAAAATGGTTGTAGAAATGCCTGGCTAAAAGGACAATTACGCATGCGCCAGGCGTTTAGCAAGCCTTCAACGATCCACTAACAATCCACTAAGGGCTAACTATCGCTACCCCTCCAGGTGGGCCTGAGGTCAGGGGTCTTCTACTCTCCTTGCTCCCCACTTCCTGGGCCATCCTCAGAGAGGCTGTGTCTCCCCAGTCACCCGATGCCTTTAAGGCCCCAGCACCCCGGCCTGCGGAGTAGGCTTGCGGGACGCTGGGACGCCCCGGCCGGAAGGCCACGGGTGGGGTGAGGCGCACGAGGCCGCGCTCGGAGCCGGATCAGGTTGTTTTGAGCCGCCAGACCGGGAGTCAAGTGAGCAGTCAGGCCCGACCGGGCCCCCACCTGCCGGCTCCAGCAGCGTCCTCCAGCGGCCCGCCGCCGCCCCCGCGCCTCCCACGCGCGGACTCGGGGCAAGGCGCGCCGGGCCACCACCCCCCCACGGCCCACGCGGTGGGCGGAGCAACCGGGGCCTTTGTGTTCAAACCGCCCAATGGGCGGTGGCAGTGGGCGGTGACGCGGGCGGGGCCTGGCCAATGGGCCGCGGCCTGTCAGCGCTGATTGGCAGGCGCACACATACACACTCGGCCACGCGCGCGCCGGCCGGCCCCACTCGCGCAGCGCGATTGTGCGCGGGTCGCATTGTCTGCCGCGCCGTCCCGCCCGCTGGCCTCGTCCCGCGCCGCCGCTGCCCGCGCGCCCCGGGCCCCTCACCGAGCACCGCTCGCGGGATTCCGACGCGGGAAGGGGGCGCGCCCGGGCGGCGCAGCGGGCCTCGGACGCCCCCGGCCCCGCACGGAGCAGCCGCGGCAGCAGCAGGTAACCGCCGGCCGTGGGCCTCGGGCGGGTGGACGTGCCGGGCAAGGGTATGTGGGCCGGCCTCGCCCGCCTCCCCGCGGGCCGCCGACTCCGGGGTCATCGTCGGCCCGCTCCGGCCAGGGCCGAGCTGCCCAGGCCTGGTTCTTCCACTCCGGGCCAAGCTGGGCCGGGCTCCCGCCCCGCCCGGCGCACGCCCCTGGGCCGGTCGGAAAGGGCCAGCGCCGTGCAGGGGGGCCAGCCGCCCTGACTCATCTCCGCAGCCCGCCCACTGGCCAGCTCGGAGGGCGGATGTCTCCAGGCGGGACTTCCCCGGGCACGACCTCCCCGAGAGGAGGGGAGCGAGAGCCGGGCCACCTCAGACCGGCCCAGGGCAGTGCCTGTTTTCGTGCCAGGCAGGCAGTTTCCAGGGACAGGCAGTTCCCTGCCTCTGCCTGTCAGACTCTGGGAATAGGAGGAAGGCCCATTTTGTTCCGTTCTTTAAAAAAAGAAACCAAACACATAGGAGGCCGGAGTGTGACTTAGAACAGAGTGGCAGGGAAGGCGCGTGGTTGGTTAAAAAAAAAAAAAAAATCAAATGTCTGCAGGTTCAGCCCGGAGAGAAAATGAGGGGAGAAGGGAGTTAGCACCTGGAGCGTTTTACAGGTCCCACGAGGGAAAGTAGTGTGAAAACGCCCCGTGGAAGACGGCCGAGATCTAGGTTAAGTCTGAAGACTGGCTGGTTACTGCCATATAAGTTTGTGGAGGGGGGTGTGGGGGAAGGTGGAGTTGAGAAAAGGATGTGGTTCGGCCCAGAAGTGGGGAGGGATGTTGTGTTTGAGGGTTTCTTAACTAGTGTGTGTGTGTTGGTGAGGGCGGGGTCTATTCTGATATGCAGAAGATTTGAGCTCCTAGAGGCTCTTGTTTTGTTTTGGAGGATTCAGGCCTTGACCTTTCTCATCTTCTGAACCCAGACTCAGTTGCAAACCGTTTCGTGATACCAGGACTACAGGAAAGACTGGGAGGGCGGAGGAGGGGGCTGCTGACGGTTTTCACCACCCCCCTCCCACCCCCCCACCCCCCACACCTCCGTCTGAATATTTATATTCTTGCCAAGAGCGGCTTGAGTTGGCAGAAACATTGTTTTGTTTCTGCCCCAGGGTGAAGGCTTCCTTCCCTTCAGCAGGCAGGGGTTAAGAGGAGGAGCCTATATGGGCATCTGGAGTTTTCAGGTGGGGAGGGCAGTCGAGGGGGTGGAATTACCTTATAAGGAGTGGAATATAGAAAAGGACCCAGGCCAACTTCCTGCTTTGGCTACTACCAATTGGTCCCTTTACCAACACCGGCCTAAAACCACGGAGGGATGCTAGGTGGGCATCCTACCTGGGAAGACGCCAATAAGACCAAGACATGAGGCTGCTTGTTTTTCAGAAGAGGACTTTCTAGATTTTTCCAGCTGGACTAACCAGAACTTCTGGTTTCCACAGCCTTGAGTTGGGAAATATTGGAGTCTCTGCTCTTTGTACAGCATAGGGACCTAACAGTGTAAGGATCACCCAGGAATATTAGAAGTGATAATAAGTCAAAAGTACTGGGGACTCTTGAGTGGGTCTAAGTGTAACAAAGACTTTGTAACATGGGCAGGCAAAGGCACCATGTTGAGACTCCTCACATCGGTCATCTGAGATTTTGAATTTGGGTTTTTATATTTGGAAGGCTTATTCATCCTCCTCTGGTTATCAAACGCTGTCTTTTGCCTGGTCTCCTCACCTTGGCCTCCTTTGAGTCCTCGATATCAATTTCCCAGAGCCTTGATTCCCCACCGCATGTGCTGACTTGTTCCCTCCGGCAGAGATTGACCGAAATCCTACACTTGTCAGATCTACGCTCAAATCCTGAGTCTGTCATTCATAGGCTAGGTGACTGTGGGCAAGGTCACCCATCACCTCCGTGTGCCAGGGTCCTCCCTTGTACAGTGGCAGGAATGGTACTTCCCATGTTCACAAGGATCAGAGATGGCTGTGTAAGGAGCCAGTTACCTAGGAGGCATTTAACACAGCATTCTGTCCTCACCATCACCATCCTACCAGGACGCACTGCTGCTGCTGCATGCTAATCACTGAGGGGACACAGCATGCAGACCCCTTCAGGATGGAGGTGGGGCTTACCAGGAAAAAGGTTTTCTCCAGTCCAAGTTGGATTGGCGCCTTGAGTCAATGAGTATAACCACAAGGAAGAGAAAGCGTGTCCCCTCGAAGAGAAACAGTTGGAACGAGCGCACACACAGCTCTAGGGGGAGGGCAGCATGGTGGGACGGCTGGACTGGAGCGTCTGGGCGAGGCAGCAGCGATCAGAGTCATCCAGTTAGCATCTGTCGGGTGCCTGTCATGTTCGATGTGCTCTGCTACGTGCCGAAGGTTGCAGAAGGTCCAGGTCTGCCTCTCAGGCAGCTCAGTGTCAGGTTAACTGAAAACTAGAAAAGCCTGTGGAAAGCACCCAGAGAGGCCACCTGCGTACTAAGTGAGCCCGAGGCTGGGCAGGGACCGCAGCAGGGTGGATGCCGGCAGATGCTTAATAAATGCCCCACGTCCCCACCTCCCAGGCTGGGTTGAATGCACAGGGGGTGGACTGTTCCCTGGGAGCCAGGTCCCCAGGGAGGAGCTGAGAACAACCGCAGGCCTCACATGTCCTCCTTTCTCTCCCAAGAGTCTCTCCAGGGGGAGGGTCCCCATCCTACCTCGTCATGTCCCGCCGAAGCCAGCGCCTCACGCGCTACTCGCAGGGTGACGATGATGGCGGCAGCAGCAGTGGAGGGAGTTCGGTGATGGGGAGCCAGAGCACCCTGTTCAAAGACAGTCCTCTCAGGTAGGGGATTCCCGTGGGTTGCGGAGAGCTCGGGCAGGTCTTCCTGTTGCCATCTCAGCGGGCAGAGATCAGATGCCCATCCGGTCGAGGGGGAACCTTCACACCTTTGAGGATGCCAGGACCCAGCACTGCCGCTTCTTCGCCCCCTGTTGCAGGCCAGGCTGTTGTCCTCATGTTCAGAGGACAGGCCGTGGGGAGAGGCAGCTTCAAGAACAAGCCAGGCCAGAACCCCCAAAAGTGCAAGTGGGGTTCACAGGAGCCCCTTCTGCTATGGATAGGTGTGCCCTTCTGACCCTCCGCCCCCGACCCATGTGTGCTGTCTGTAGGGCTTCAGCCCGGCCAGCGAAGCCGCCCAGGGGAGGACCAAGTCTGAGGGGCAGAGCAAATGAGCTGAAGCAGGTGCCCGCCTCATCCTGCCCGGCTGGCAGATACGAGGCCCAGAGAGTAGCTCGCGAGGCTTTGGCTAGTCCTAGGAGGCCAGGTCGGGTTGGTCCGGGCTTTCAGTGGGTGGTAGAAATTGCTACTGCTTTAGGAAGCACGAGAAGAAACTTTGGCTTTAAAGTTAGGGACCTGGATTTGAATCCTGACTCCATCACTTAACTGCTGGTGAGATTTAGAGCTAATGGGAGTCAAGAAAGCACCTGTGGTTAGCACCGGCAGGAGCCAGGAAGCTGTTGGTTGCCTAGCAACAGGGCTGACCCACTCACTAGAGGCGGGCAGAGCGGCTTGCTTCCCTATTCCTGGCTGGGCTCACCTGCCTGTTCCCGGCCTCTCCCTGCCTGGCTGACCTCCCACAGGACCTTGAAGAGGAAATCCAGCAACATGAAGCGCCTCTCCCCAGCGCCCCAGCTGGGCCCCTCCTCCGATGCACACACCTCCTACTACAGCGAGTCAGTGGTCAGGGAGTCCTACTTTGGCAGCCCCCGGGCCTCCTCCCTGGCTAGGAGCTCCATCCTCGACGACCACCTGCATAGTGACTCCTACTGGAGTGAGTATCTGAGACCTTTGGCCTGGGGCTTTGCTTTCTTTGCTTCCAGTGGAAACTTAAGGTCCAAAATCTCCCCCTGAGTGGTTTCCTGAGCACTGCTGGGCCAGAGGAGGGGCTCCCCATCTTCAGAAACCCTTAGAAGGGGAGCCGAGTGTCTGAACTCGCAGGCCACATCAGACAACGAAGTGGTCATGGAGCTGCTCCAGGCCCAGAGACCCTCCTGTGGACCCAGGGAGCTCGGGAGAAGCGAAGGGCAGTCCCATCTGTCCATCAGAGATGCTCCTCAAGGTGTCCCCATGAGGCCGTGTGGCATAGCCTCCTGGGAGTAGCTCTCGGCTCCCAGAGAACCCCGCGTTCTTCCCTCCGCAGGTGAGGACTTGCGGGGGAGGAGGAGGAGGGGTACGGGTGGCACGGAGAGCAGCAAACTCAACGGGCTTGCTGAGAAGAAGAGCTCCGAGGACTTCCTGGGCTCTTCCTCAGGCTACTCTTCTGAGGATGACTTCGCAGGTAGGTGACGCCTCGGGGATACACTCCAGCAGCTCCTGGGACTGCTGGGGCGGGTGATGGGGGAGGCCCAGGGAATGTGCCCCCTGACCGCCTGAGAGATCACAGTATCCGACAGGCCTCTCCACAGACCAGCCGTGCATCCCCACCCCCCGCCCCCGTGCCACCACAGCACCCTGAACCCGGGCCGGGGGGACCATTAACACACCGTGACTGCCCTGTCCCCATCAGTCTGAGCAGCCTGTGGTCAACTCCATTGTGTTTGACTTGTTTCCAGCCAGTACTTAACATGGGGCTTCACACAGAGGAGGGGCTTGGCCCCTTTAGTCTAGTTCTGAACGATGGTTTGAAGGACTGCTGGCGAGGAGAGGGGTGCAGATGAGAAGCTCAAAGGAAATAAAATGTCAGAAGCCTCCCGCTTCATTCCTTTCACCGATGTTTACTGACCTGCTGGGGGCCAGCCTGTGCGATGCTCTGGGGATGCAAAGGAGAATGATAGGTGGTCTCAGCTCACAGTCTAAAAGAGACGACTAATAGGCAGTCTCCGTATCCCTGGGCCCGTAAAAGTGAGGACAGACTGAATGTGGCCTCTCTGTCCCTGCAGGATACTCGGAGACTGACCACCGTGATTCAGGTTCACAGTTAAGGAACGCCGTCTCCTGGGCAGCCTCTTGTTTCTGGACGCTGGTCACTTCTCCAGGTGGGTCCTGGCTATTCTGTGCATGATTATTTCCATTCTCTACAGCAGTCCCTTCTCCCCGCTTCTCCCTGTGGTTGGGCAGCCCACTGAGAGACCATAGCACCATCAGGGAAAGCTCGTTCTAGAATAATCACTGGAGACCAGGAGCCATAGTAACACCCTAGCATCCTCGGGTGGAGGGGCAGGAGGGGCAGGAGCAGCTGCGGAGCCGGGTGGAGGGCGTTGGCAGACTAGGCAGGTGGGATCAGAGGAACGGGGTGGCCTCAGACAGGACAGAGGTGCTCTGGCAGCTCAGGGGGGGGGGTGGGGGGGGGGCAGAGAGGGCGGCAGGTGGACAGAGCGGTGCTCTGAACCATGACCTGCAGGCCTCTGGCTCAGGGTGACACTTAGGCCTTGCTGGTCCCTCTCGTAGGCCGGCTCTTTGGCCTCCTCTACTGGTGGGTTGGCACCACCTGGTATCGCCTGACGACAGCTGCCTCTCTTCTCGATGTCTTCGTCTTAACCAGGTGAGTGAGACCCCCACTTTGACAATGAATCCGGAAGCCCTGGGACGGAAGGGACCCATAAAGCTCCTAAACCCCTGGATGTCATCTCTCTGAAGGTGGTTGTCCCAGTTTACGGGTGGCTTTTATCAGTGAGCAGGGAGCGGACTCCCCAGAGCCCTTCTTTGCCTGACAGATGATGGGACTGAGGCAGGTGTTTTCCAAACCAATAGCTCGCTTCAGGGAGTATTCTGGAATTACGGGTTCCTGTTTCTTAGATTCTTCCTGCTAAATGCCAGCCCCGTCTGGCCACTTCTGTATCTGCCGAGCCTGGCCTTCCTCCTGCTGGTCAGGTTTTAGGCTCCCGCCAACAAATGGTGTTGCCAAGAAAGTTCAGTTTCCCTCCTGGCCCCGTGGCAGTCTAGAACCCAGTGTTCTCCGAGGTGTGTTCAGAAGCCAGGAATAGGTGCTGTGTGAGGATGCTGTGGGTTTATTTCCCAAGTCCCTGAGCCAGCAGAGCCAGGAAAGAAGACTGAGCCAGGAAGTCCGGGTCCTCCTACAGCTGTAGTCCTGGCTGGCTGGCCGGCCAGCTGTGCTGAGAGGGGCAAGGATGGATCTGTGTCACCAGAAGAAGGTTCCTCATTTTTCTAAAAGAAAACATTGTTTAAGGAGTTCTGTATTTTTTTTTTCCTAGAATTGCTTGCTTAGAGGATCTCTGTATATGAAAATTTCAGGTTTTTCAAGACCCCATGTTTTTTTAAATAACATCAATAAAATTCAGAGAGTCCGAATTCTCCCCATTATTCCAAGACCTGCAGGTAAAGCTCTAAAGTGTCCAATCCGGCCCTGGGGAGATGAGACACTTCCGGGCAGCCCCCTCCAACTCTAGTGTAGCACTCAGGAAAAGCCTCTGCAGACTCCCCGGGGGGATAAAGAGGCCCAAACGCCCTCTTGACGCCGACGCTGCCCCCCCCGCACCCCCCCCCCCCGTCCCCCCCTGTGGTCCAGGCGCTTCTCGTCTGTGAAGACATTCCTGTGGTTCCTCTCGCTGCTGCTGCTCGTGACCGGCCTGACCTACGGTGAGCTTGCCTGGGGCTGCAGGGGAGGGGTGGGATGAGCATGCCTGGCTGAAATGGCGCTGGCGCGCCAGAGGGGCGGGGCAGGGTGTGGGTGGGGGCTGGCGCTGAGCAGAAATGTGAAAACCAGAGGGACTGTGATGATCTACAGGAAAGGGAAGGAGGCAGGATGAGTGGGGTCAGACTGAGCCTGGGCAGCTCCCAAGCCCCAGGCCAGTCCTGTCTGGCTCTCCTGGGTCCTCACTGACCCATGCGGCATTCTCAGGGCGCCCAGTGGGTGAAAGGGGATATGCCCCCGTCCACTGACCTGGTCCTGTTTGGGGAGCTGCTCTGGACTGCCTGGCATGTCTAGGGCATTCTTGGAGCCACCTGGCTCAGGACATGCCCGAGTACAGGAGCACTGGGGTAAAAGCCAGGATCTTGACACTGTTATTAGTAGTCCTTTTCCCTCCATTTGAAAGCAGGACATGGTCTGGGTGAGTGAATTCTTCTTACGACGTCAAGTTCAATCTTTAACTATCTTTGAGATCGAAACAATAAAGTAGTAAAGAGAAGCATGCTCTTTTATACTAATATAGCTCATTTATAAGGTGCTTGATTGACATTGTTCCAGTCTCTATCCTAGGACTATTTTGTGTGTTTTACATAGTTGTAATAATGTTTGTATATATTTTGTGTTCAGCTTGTAATCTGACAGTATCATAGGAGTCTCACAATTCCATAGGAGTTGCCTCTATGGCCCCCAGCCTGTTTTAATGATTGTACCAATCTACAATTAATTGATAGAGACCATGCTTTATTTTTTTTTTAGAGTTGATTTTTTAAAGTTTTTATTTATTTATTTGAGAGAGAGACACACACACAGATCGAGTGGGGAGGAGAGGGCCACGCAGACTCCCTGATGAGCAGGGAGCCCAGTGTGGGGCTCGATCCCAGGACCCTGAGATCATAACCTAAGCCGAAGGCAGATGCTTAACGGGCTGAGCCACCCAGGCGCCCCTAGAGTTGGTTTTATAGGTTTAGCATCTACTCAACTTGTATTTATCGAATAGCAAGATAGAAAATTTTTCCAAGTGTTGATTTCCTTTTTGTTTCCTGTTACAGGAACAGCTTGTTCATGTCCAGTGGAAACTGGGCATCACCCTTAAAATAATAATGATCCTTTACAATTGTATAGTGCTTTGTTCATGAGTTACCTCCGATAATTTGAGTTTCACCACAGCCTTGTGGGGTTGATGGAGCTGATGTCCCAGCAGCATCTCTCACGAAGAGATGCGTGTGGAGAGTCTGAAAGGCGGGGGGAGTGGCCCGCTCCGGGACGGGAGTGCAGGAAGTGAGGCGCGTCCAGAGGGACTGACTGAAAGCCTGGTGGGCGTGTGATTCCCGCTGCGCTTGCTCCCAGCCAATGACTGAGTGGCATGTGTGGTCCTACCCGGATGGAGACGCATGCAGCTTTTCAGGTGTCCTCACCACCCCCACACACACATGCATGTGCACAGCTCAGGAGTAAACACATTGCGGCAAGCAGATGACCCCTAAAGCAAGATGCAAGTGTCACTGTAGCTGTAGTGCCCTCTCTTAGCAGGTGTGTTTTAGTGATTCTCAATCACAGTAGTCCATGAGAGTTACCTGGGGAGCTTGTTTTTTTCTTTTACATAAGTAGGCTCCTTGCCCAGCATGGAGCCCAATGCTGGGCTTGAACTCATGACCCTATGATCAAGAGTCAGACACTTAACCAACTGAGCCACCCAGGTGCCCCTCCTGAGGAGCTTTTAAGACTCGCCCACAAGGGGGCGCCTGGGTGGCTCAGTCGTTAAGCGTCTGCCTTCGGCTCAGGTCATGATCCCGGGGTGCTGGGATCGAGCCCCTCATTGGGCTCCCTCCTTGGGGGGGGGAGCCTGCTTCTCCCTCTCCCACTCCCCCTGCTTGTGTTCCCTCTCTCGCTGTCTCTGTCAAATACATAAATAAAATCTTAAAAAAAAAAAAAAAAGGCTCACCTCCAGGGACAGTGCGGTGGCTCAGTTGGGCATCCAACTCTTGGTTTCAGCTCAGGTCATGATCTTGGGCTCGTGGGATCAAGCCCTGCATCAGGCTCCGCGCCTCTGCATGGAGTCTGCTTCTCCCTCTCCCTCTGCTCGTCCCCCAACTCTCTCTCTCTCTAAAGTAAGGAAAATCTTTCACCTCACCTACAGAAGGATCCCCCAGACCAGTGAATTCATGCTCTAGAGAGTGGGGCCAGATACTGGGTATTTTTTAAAAGCTTCCTGGGTGATTCTGATGGACATTCGGGAGTGGCCTCTGGTTCTACCCCTGGATCATCCCTTGCTTATTATAGCCATGTTCTCTGAGTTTTGCCATCCAGAGAAAGATGAGGGTTCCTGAGGAATGTGAGAACGCATATACTCTGGGACTGTCGGGTGGAAGTTACCGCCTCAGAGAATGATGGGAACCTCCATTCCACCATCCCTCCATCTCTTCCAGAAGAAACGCAGCTCACAGGAATGAGACAGGCTGCTAATAACCCGTGTTGATTAGGCCACCCGCTTCAGCAGCTTGTGCCTTCCTGCTTGTGGCCACTGGCCTGATAACCCCCTCTCCTCTGTGTACAGGCGCTTGGTATTTCTACCCGTATGGGCTGCAGACATTCCACCCTGCGGTGGTTTCCTGGTGGGCAGCGAGGAGCAGCGGCAGACAGCAGGACGTGTGTGAGTCCAGAGACTCCTCCCACTTCCAGGTGAGGGTCTGAGGGTCGCAGGTCCTCCCTCTGCCTGTGTTTGTAGTTGATTTCCCTGCCCTTACACCTTACATACAGGGCTGAGAAGAGGTGCCGTCCTTGCTGATAAACTGCCTTGTCTCCCAGGACACCCCTTCCTCTGTTTGGGCTGCAGGTACTGGGGGAGCAGTTTGCTTGTGCTTAAATAGGATTTCAAACTGTGCCAAAGTTAGTTGCTGTCTTAAGCATAGAAAACTGAAGGAAAAAGAATGAGACCAATCGTTTTGCCTACTTTTGTTCCTTTGTAATATAATTTCATAAATATTTACTAAGCATCTTCTACGAATAAGGTGATATGTTGGTCAGTTACCAATTACCACAAGTAAATCACCCCTAAAATCAGTGCCTTAAAACTACAGGCATTTGATTAGCTCACGAGTCTGGGGCTCCTCTGGGTGGCTTCTCTGGGTGGCTTCTCTGGTCTAAGCAAGGACTGGCTGGTCTAGGCTGGGCTCCCTTGTGTGTCTGCAGCTGGCTGTGCACCACATCTGCTTCTCTCGTCCAGCAGGCTAGCCTGAGCTTGTTCTCATAGGAGCTGACCATGGTTCCATGAGAGCAAAATCAGGCCTAGATTCTGAACTGTCGCTTCCACCACATTCTAGGCCGAAGGCAGTCTCAAAGCCAGTTTACATTCCAAGAGGGGGACACAGACTCCACCTCCTGATGGGAGCACCTGCAAGGCCACACTGCGCAGGGTGCGGATACAGGGAGGAGGGTAGAATGGGGGCCAGTTTTGCAGCCCAGGCTGTGTCCTCAAGGAGCCTGCAGTCCAGTGGGGGTGACAAGTGCCCAGATAACCAGAATATGTGCATGTGACAATGAAAATTTAAAATTCTTTACTCCCTAAATATATTTGAATTTTGCTTGCATCTTGCTGAATCTAATTGAGTAACACGTGTTTAACCATTTATTTTGGTGGATATTACTTTCCTGATCATCATGTTATCATTTCATAAAATAATAACCTATTTTGGCATTATAACTTTCCTTTTTGTAATCATTTGTAAAGATGTTAAATACAATTTCAGGACCACCTTTTCTGTGCAAAGGGGGAGTATATCTTTGTACTTGCTTACATTTGAGTAAAGACATGAATGAAAATTGTTGCTTGGTTTGGGAGCAGGTGGTGGTTGAGAGCACCAGGTGGATAGGGACACAGGTTAGAATAACTTCTGTTTGCTTTTTGAGTCCTGTAAATGTACGGCCTATTTAAAATAATTTTAAAAAATCAGAAGCAACTTCCACGCTTAGGAGCTTCCTGTCTTTAACCAACAGCTGACAGATTATATCTTCCTTTGGCAAAGATTTTTGTTTTTAAGCCAGCAGGTTTCTAAAAATTCATAGCATTCTATCAGGTGCAACCCTCAAGTCCAAATGACTTCTATTTCCTCTGTGGGCCCTCCAGTTAAAGAGAAGAAAGAAAGCCTTTTCAAATTATTTTGTCTTTTAGCCCTAATTCTCTTGGACAGACTTAGTGGGAGCTGCTGAAGTCAGCAGCTGAACCCCTCAGCCCCTCGCTCTCTGGCATGCGCACCCATGTAGCAGAGGGAAGGGGGCTGGGGTCAGCCCGGCAGGCCACCCAGTCCCCTGCGGCTCCCTCCTCGCTATGTCCCTGCTCACCTGGCCCACACACACTCCTCCTTGGGGATCAGACCCTTCCAGGCCTCATGTGTCCGGTGTCCTGTGCTGCATGGTCACTACACATCAGCAGCCTTATGGCACCCTGGCTCCCTGCTGGCGTCCTCCCCTACCTGCAGGGCACAGAGCGTCCTCTGTCACTCACCTCCGTGGCTTTTCCCTCCCCACCCCACCCCACCAGGCTGAGCAGCGCATCTTGTCCCGGGTCCACTCTCTGGAGCGGCGTCTGGAAGCTCTCGCTGCTGAATTTTCCTCCAACTGGCAGAAGGAGGCTATGCGGCTGGAGCGGCTGGAGTTGCGGCAGGGAGCCGCTGGCGGGGGAGGCCACGTGGGCCTGAGCCAGGAGGACACCCTGGCACTTCTGGAGGGACTGGTGAGCCGCCGTGAGGCTGCCCTGAAGGAGGACTTCCGCAGGGACACCGCCGCTCGGATCCAGGTCTCTGAGCGGGAGCGGAGTGGCATTTGGGTGGCGTGGTTGGGTGTACGGGGTGGAGGGGCAAGGCCCTGCACACCCTGACATGACAGAGACAGCAGTGTGTCACTTGGCGGTTACCTTCTCTAAGCCTTAGTTCCCTGTAAAATGGAGGCTCTTGTGTTTACCCTTGCACCCCCACCCAGTCGTGCGAGACCGTAGAGTGCCTGGCACAAGAGGTGTGCAGTAAGATCCAGGGAGTCTTGCATGTTCCCAAGGAGCACTGGAGAAGAAAGGCCAGGAGCTGAAGCTCACAGTCAGGCCTGGTTCAAGTTCCCATCTGACCCCGTACTGGCTAAGTTCCCTCTGCCTGTAAATCCGGAAAGTCCTCAGCCTCTCTCCTCTGTCTGATAGGAAGAACTGGTCACCCTGAGAGCAGAGCATCAACAAGACTCTGAAGACCTCTTTAAGAAAATTGTCCAGGCTTCCCAGGTCGGTGGGGCCCTTATCCAGTTCAGCATCTGCTCTTGGGCTGAGACAGCATGGCTCTCCCGAAGGGCCTGCTTAGACACCAGATGGGGTGGGGGTATAGTCCCCTGACTTCTGCGGAGCCCAAACCCACAGGCTCTGGAATGCTTTGCAGGGATGCGCTGGGGCATGCTTGAGGCAGGGGGGCTTTCAGGAGGTCTGTTGTGCTGAGTATAACATGCCGAGTGAATGAATGAATGAATGCCGAAGTGTGCCAGCAGGGAGACTCTCGTAAGGACCCTGACCAGGAGGTGTTTAAGGTCTGCTGGGGTGGGGCTGTGGTGAAACAAAGACTCCAAAGGGAACAGATCCTGCTCCCGGAGACCGGTTGCTGCGAGCTTGGCATTTGTTCTATCCGTGCTTTCTTCCCACGATAGGAGTCTGAGGCTCGACTCCAGCAGCTGCAGTCTGAGTGGCAAAGGTAATGGGCACTGCCATCTGGCCTAGGCCTGCTCCTCCCCCGCCCCTTCCCCCCACACCCGGGCAGGCCTGGGGAGCAGAGCCCCAGAGCAGAGAGGGGACGGCTGAAACCTAGCTCAGGAACACCTGCTTAGAGCCTGTCAAGAGAGGCTGGGTATGGGAGGCACTGCAGGAGAATTGGGATTTGTGGGTTTGGGTGTAGACGTGCCATTTTTTCTGTACACACTCATGTAGGCTGCCTTCCCCTGCCCCAGACATCCGTATGTGTGGAGGGTGGGAGAGGCTGAGGCAGAGTGAATTATGGACCTGGGGTTAGAAAGGGAACAGGGTAAGAATGTATTCCTTGGGATAAGCAAACCAGTTCGTAGGCGCCGGGGCCATGGTCCCCAGGTGTAGGCCTTGCGTGCACCTGCGGGTGATGAGCACACATTTCTCTTGGGAGCCAGCGAGGGGATCCTCTTGTGTTCCTCAGCACGGCCTCACCCCTCACCAGAGAGCCAAGGCTTACTCTTTTCTCCTCTCTTCCGGAGTAGGATGACCCAAGAGGCCTTCCGAGAGCACTCCATGAAGGAGCTGGGGCGGCTGGAGGGCCAGCTGGCAGCCCTGAGCCTGAAGCAGAGCTCGGTGGCAGACCAAGTGGGCCTCCTGCCCCAGCAGCTGCAGGCCGTGAGGGATGACGTAAGTTGGAACCACCCAAGTCCCCTGCTGAACACCCTGTCCTCTGAGGGCATCTGTCCTAGGAGCCCATATGGCAAAGAGCCTGTTTGTCCCACCGGCCCCTGCTTGGGACCTGGCACAGATGTTGGCTTTCTTTGACCGGAGTTCTTCTGGTTTTGTTTTCAGTAACGTGGAGGGTTGAGCATAACTCTTTCCTCCATGTGGGTTAGCAGGATTTGCTGGCCCGGCCCTCCCCTCCCAGGCTTGTGCTCCTTCCCTACCCCTTCTACTCAAGCCAGGCACCACCCTGCCCTGGCCTGGGCCACCAGAGCAACACTCCCTGTGAGCCTCTCAGAGACCTTTTTTCGGTCCCCAGGTGGAGTCTCAGTTCCCCGCCTGGGTCAGTCAGTTCCTTCTCCGAGGTGGAGGAACCCGCACGGGGCTCCTTCAGCGAGAAGAGATGCAAGCTCAGCTGCAGGAGCTGGAGAGCAAGATCCTTGCCCACGTGGCTGAGATGCAGGGCAAGTCAGCGAGGGAGGCCGCGGCCAGCCTGGGGCTGACGCTGCAGAAGGAAGGTGTGATTGGGGTGACAGAGGAGGTAAGGACTGTGTGGCCCCTGGAAAAGCCCCACCCCCAACACGGTGTTCTCTTCCCGGGGAGCCACAGACCTGCACAGTCCCAACACTGCCGGCTTCCTGCTATGTTCCAAGGCCTAAGGGACATGTGAGAGGCTCTGATGTTGGCTTTGGGGCTGGTGGGAGTGGGGGCGGGCGGACACCTAGGGAAGTGGCATGTGTAGCTGGATGCCAGTGTGTGGTGCAGGATAGGAGGGGCCCCTAGTAGTAGGGGCTCCAGGGTGGACAAGTCTGCTCCTCCTGGCAGCCGCCCTGGGTGCTTCTTTTAGCAGGTGCAGCGCATTGTAAACCAGGCCCTGAAGCGCTACAGTGAGGACCGCATAGGGATGGTGGACTACGCTCTGGAATCAGGAGGTGTGTGTGCACTCTTCCCCCCTTTGCAGAGCCTTTGTCCTGCTGCTGGCCAGGTCCCCGTGCTGGCCGGCCCTCTGGCATCGGCCGGGGCAGCCATGTTGCTAGGCGAGTGGAGCTTGAGATCAGCACACATCACTCACCACGAAGGCAAGTGAAGAAGCTTAGGGGAAGTCTGGATGAACTGAACACCACTGTTGGCCAGGGAGAGGCTGACGTTTACAGTTATTCTGTAGTTGGATATAGTTGGAAGTACACAGACTAGGCCCGGGGCATCTGCCCTCCATCCTCAGAGAGGACATGGCAGTAGCCGTCCCCACCTGGGTTCCCTGGGCTGGTGAGATGCACTGGTGTCTGGGTTACCCACCCTCCCTCCCCTGCTGGGGTCCAGCTCCAGGTGCCCACACTGCCTTGCTTTCCCGTCTTAGGAGCTAGTGTCATCAGCACCCGGTGTTCCGAGACCTACGAGACCAAGACGGCCCTCCTCAGCCTCTTCGGCATCCCCCTGTGGTACCACTCGCAGTCACCCCGGGTCATCCTCCAGGTAGGCACCCAAAGAGGGCAGCGGCAGGGGTCCCAAGCAGTCACCTGTGCAGCTGGGGGCTCCCGTCCTGGGGTCAGCAAAAGCTGTGCTCAGGGTGGGCTATCTTTGTCACCAGCCCTACGCTGACCCAGCTTCCTTCCCCTCCAGCCAGATGTGCACCCAGGCAACTGCTGGGCCTTCCAGGGGCCCCAGGGCTTTGCCGTGGTTCGCCTCTCTGCCCGCATCCGCCCCACTGCTGTCACCTTAGAGCATGTCCCCAAGTCCTTGTCGCCCAACAGCACCATCTCCAGTGCCCCCAAGGACTTCTCCATCTTTGTGAGTACCTGTGGGGGGCCAGGGAGGGCTACAGGACCCTGTGAGGCTCTACCGAGGACAAAGCTGGGATCTGTTCTTTGGCTGGGAAGAAAGGAGCAGATTTGGAAGAGAGCAGCAGGGTGGGAAATGGTACCTCAGTCCCAGTTGTCTTAGGCTGCACTGGAAGAAACCGGGTCCAGGGCTCAGGCCCCCTACAGTCTCAGTAAGGCTGCTGCCTGATCTGCTAGTGTGGGAAGGGACCAGTATGGGAACAGGGAGGGAGAACATTCCTCCCTGGGGGGGCAGGGGCACTTGTCTAGTGCAAGATCTTCTCTCCATCCCTTGTTCTCTTTTCAGGGGTTTGATGAAGACCTACAGCAAGAGGGGACACTTCTCGGCCAGTTCACCTACGACCAGGATGGGGAGCCCATTCAGACCTTCTATTTTCAGGTACAGGACTCTGCTATGCTAGCAGACGTGGCACGCTCACTTTCCCATCCACTCAGCAGACAGTTTGAGCACTTACCCTGGGCCGGGCACTGGGGGCTCAGGGCAAGAAAAAGTGCAACCCCTGCCTTCCAAGAGCTCAAGGTAGGGAACAGGGACAGCTGTCCAAGTGGGACAGGAGAGGCACCACCTAGATGTCAGCACAGGGGAGGGTCCCATCCCAGACAGGGAGCATGGAAAAGGCTGCCCAGAAAGGGCAGTTGTCTGAGGGTGATCCAGTTGGACCTCGGGGGGTGCAGCATGACTAGGGCACACAGGGAGGGCACTTGCCTCAACCCGAGTGGGCATCAGTCTCCCAGGCCCTTGTTAGATATGCAGATTCCCAGTCTCCACCCCAGGAGATAGGCTCCCAGGTTCCAACAGCCCTAAGGAATCAATGTTCTTTTTTTTTTTTTCCCAAAGATTTTATTTGAGGGCGCCTGGGTGGCTCAGTTGTTAAGTGTCTGCCTTCGGCTCAGGTCATGATCCCAGGGTCCTGGGATCGAGCCCCTGCATCGGGTTCCCTGCTCCATGGGGAGCCTGCTTCTCCCTCTCCCACTCTCCCTGCTGGTATTCTCTCTCTAGCTGTGTCTCTCTTTGTCAAATAAATAAAACCTTAAAAAAATTTTTTTATTTGAGAGAGAGTGCACATGAGTGGGGCGGGTAGGGCAAGAAGAGGGAGAAACAGACTCCCCTACTGAGCAGGGAACCCAATGCAGGGCTCGATCCCAGGACCCTGGGATCATGACCTGTATCCGAAGGCAGCTACTTAACCGACTGAGCCACCTAGGCGCCCCAGGAATCAATGTTCTAACAACCAGATGACTGCTGTGCAGGGGGCTTGAGAGCTATACCAGGGGTGAAGAATTGGATGAGGTGGCAAAGGGACAGTGGCGGGAAGGGAGGCCGGAGAGAGGCAGGCCTGGCTACCAGGCCAAAGACTTTTGGCCCTGATGGGCACTGCCATGTTTTCGGCAGAGAAGTGACAATACCTTGTGGTAAGATCACTGTGACCATGTGGAAATGATGAATCTAGGGGACAAGACCAGTCAGGAAGTGGCTGCAGAGAGAGGGTGTGAGGAGGGAGAGGTGGATACACAGTTGGGAGGCCAAGGGTCAGGCTGGACAGAAGTGGGGAAGGGGTAAGAAAGGGATGGCTTCCAGAAGTGCCAAGAGGCAGGCTAATGTGGGGGGGGAGGGCTGGCCACCAAGTCTGAGGCACCTGTGGGATGGCCCAGTGGAGGGATCAGGGGAACTAGACACAAAGACTGAGCGGTCAGCTCCAGGGTGGTAACTGAGCCAGTGGGGTGCTCAGGGATGGGTGTAGACTGAGCCTTTAGGAGAAGGTAGAGGACAAGAGACTGTGTGGAAGGCCAGAAGGAGACAGGAAGAATAGGAAAGCACTGTGCCTACTGGCATCAAACCAGGGGAAATTTGCTCTGAAAGCTCACTCAAAAATTGTGGCTTTTTGAGCAAAGAGAACCAGAGGCCTGATGAGAACTTGAGAGAGAATAATTCTGCCTAATTCAGAGTAAAAGGATTCTTTTCCGGCGTCAACATCTATCAAACCCTCCACAAAGGTAATTCTGTCCACTGACAGTAATAGCTCCTATGAATCTGTCAGTTTGGGATGAATTTCGCTGGTCCTCAGCTACACGGCCGTTTGGATGTGGCTGTGGGTCACTGGCCCCTGGAGGACCTCTGAAGCCCCTGGAGCTCCTTGGCTCATAGGCTGGAAACTGCTTCATGGTCTGAGGACGGGACCTTGGAAGCCCACTTCTCTGTAGAGGTCGATGGGGGGGGGGTGTGCATCTGACCCTGGGGGTGGCTGTCTCCCTTCCTGCCCTCCTGTCAGTGAAGTTTGAGGACTTGGCCACTCCTAACCTCTTCTTTCTCTACCCAGGACACTAAAATGGCCACATACCAGGTGGTAGAGCTACGGATCTTGACTAACTGGGGCCATCCCGAGTACACCTGCATCTACCGCTTCCGGGTGCATGGGGAACCCACCCACTAGGCCTTTTCTGCACTGCGGCCAGCCAGCTGGGAGTCCAGCCCCTCTCAGCACGTGCCCCCTTCTCTGGGAATGGGAGAGCAGCACCCTGCCACTTCCCCACATGCTTGACCAGCGCACGGACTTCCAGGAGCAAGAACCCCTGGCCCGATGGAGCTGAGAATATATAGGGCTTTCCTAGCAGCAGGACAGCTCAAGGTGGACAGCAAGCTCCAGTGTCCCTTTTCTTTGTCCTCCTTGTGCCAGGCATGGGGTGTCTACTTCCCCCTCTTGGGATGGTGTATATATGTAGCATATCATGGGGGATTGAAAGACAGGGAGAGAGGCAATGAGTGGACATGTTCCAGCAAAGGTGGGTGTAACCTGTCTGCCCCTTAAACAGGATGGGGGCTGGCACCCAGGGAGCTGCTGTTGGTAGGTGTGTGAATGAAGCAGGTGCCAAAGCCGTGGGTGGGCTATAAGTGAGGACCTGGGGCAAGTGAGCTGCCCTCATCCACAGGCAGGGAAGTGAGGTCCTCTGGGAGGAAAGTGCTTGTGGTGCAGGTTGGGATTGAGCCCCAGTCAGGAAGCTCCTTGTACAGGGCAGCTGGGCTCTTCCAGAAGTCTAGTGCCATCAACCTAAGGGAGCTTGACCCATGAGGTCCCCCAAAGGCCTCACTACACTGTATTTGGTCTGGGTCACAGTGGGCCCTTGAGCTTCCCATGCCCTCGAGGGTCTGGCTCCTATGAGCCTCTGAGGGCCCGGGGGGCCAACCTGTAGGATTCCCACTCTGCTGGGGCTAGTTGCTTTCTCTCTCTCTCCTGATGCTGGGACCGGGGCCTACTCTGCTCCCCGTTCCTGCTAGGGCCTACCTGTGCCCCAGAGCAAGCTTGTCACATTCCCCCAGGGGGAAGGGAGCCTAGACCAGTTTTTTGAGGCCATAAGCAACTGGGGTAAGCTTAAAAGGGTGAGGAGCAGGGTATTCCCTAGGCTCTCGGGATGGTCCAATGAGTATGATGGTAACATTCAAGGTGTCATGGTGGGAAGAGGTCTGTCTACTGTGGGCCCCCATCCTAGTCAGGCCCCTGACTATAAGGGCCCTGATCCTCAGCTACCCCCTTGAGACTCTTTCAAGCTCTTGCTCAGATTGTTTCCTTTCTGGCTCATTTTCTATGGGGGGTGGCATTCAGGGGTGGTGGGCAGCGGGGAGATAGGGCTTTTAGACCCAAGCAGGCCTGCTGTATTATGTATATATTTTTCAAGGTCTGATTTTTAACTGAAAAGCTTTGGGCTTGATTCCTAGCCCCGTTCTGTGGGGCACTGGCTGATTTCAGTTCCTTGTAACCCAGCTGCCGCGAGGGGCTGCTGTGGAGGCAGGTGCCCCAGGAGCAGGGCTGAGCCCCAGATGGGCTCGTAGGGGAGGAAGCTGGAAGGAAGAGGAGGCCCAAGGCCACCTCTGGTCCTCTGGCAGTGGCCCCATCCCAGATAACCAGGTTTCGTTTTCCGCTCTCCTGTCACAAATGCTGCACTATTGGCTCTGAATTTTTTATCTCCACATTCTAATTTATGCCTATGCAAAAAAAAATAAATTATGCCCAGGATTCATGGCGTGTGTAGTTTTTTATCTGGCCCTGGCACCGGGACTCTGCTCTTGGGAAGACAAAGAGAATGAACTCTGAACCAAAACAATGCCCCAAAGACTTACCCCTGAACTTCAGAAACCCAGGCTTCTCCACTAAAACCCAGCTGGGATGGGGCAACGGGGCTTGAGGCTGACCCTACTCTGGGATTCTGGGCTCAGGGGAGAGAAAGGGCGATGAAGAAAGAAGGGAGGTGGCTTTATTAGCCCTCCTAGACATCTCAGTAGGAAGTGGGCAGCTTTGCCTGCCCCTCGGTGTCACTTGAGCAGAAGGTAGACAAATTTACCTGTTTCACTACTGACCACGTCTGCCTTCAGTGTGGGACTGGACTCCACTGTGGGAACTGGACATTTGTCCCTTGTACCTGTGCTGGGATGGCACAAGAAGGGTCCCCTGAAGAGCCAGAACCTGCCAGCTCAGAGGAACAGGTCCTGGCCCTTCCCTGCCAGTATGTCCCCAGATTCAGTGCCTCCAATAAGCTGCCTGAAGGGCCAGGGGTGGTTCCACAACCACACTTTCCAACATACTCTGCTCCTGACCATGGCACCTGACCCAGGGCTGGTCCCCACCACATCTGAGAAAACAGAGGCTGGGATGGGTCAGAAGGGTAAGGGTTAGGGATAAACTGCCAGAGGAGAGGGTACCAGGTGCAGTGTAAATCCAGCCCTGAGGCCTTGGGCCAGTTAACCCCTCACCCCCCTCTATGCCAGGAAAGAGCTGGTCCTATGGCTCACCCCCAGTGACCACTCCATTTTCCCTACTTAACACCTGCTCTGCATCTAGAACGTCTTTCAACAAAGGAGCTATCCCCCAGGTGCACCACTAAACGAGTGCCTGGAACTTACCACAGTCAGGGCTCAGTGCCCCTGGTTGTGCTCTCCAGGCCAGACTGCCCGTCTGTACGTGTTCAAATCCTCCTGACCCCTCAAGGCACAGCTCTCACCCCATTTTCTCCATGCCCCATGCCCGCAAACCTGTGTTTCCCCCTGCACCATCGCATGGTCCCATTCCCTTATTCTGTGCCAGGGAGCCCAATGAGCCAGAACAGGGGTCCTAACCGAACTAGACGCCACAAATGCTAGCTGTACATACAAAAGGGTCAGGATCGGTCATTCGAGATGATTAACAACTTTATTCTTTATCAGCTATAAAAGGGCTGGTGTTTTGTTCCAAAGTGAGAGTCGGTAGGGCTGAGACCCGTAGAGGACCTGTGGAGTCCCTGTTAATGACAGTAAAACACTATTCAGTCAGCCCCTGCTAGCAGGCACGGGTCTGGTGACCACCAAGATCCAAACCAACCTCCTGCACGTCTGAGGGCAGAGGCCAGGGTGGAGACCACAGCTTCCAAATGTAAAGAAAGTGGTTATGCTCTTAGGGGCAAAAGAGTTCAAACAAGGTCCCCACCCTGGTGAAGTCCTGTGGAAACATGGGCTCCACAGCACCTGCCACGGGGACAGAGAGCAGAGGGGTGCTCAATGCTGCAGGCTTCCTCTTGCGAAGGTACCAGTGGGCGGCAGCCCCTATAAGCAGGACCAGAGTCAAAAAGCAAGAAGGAACTAGCACACAAAGGAACAGGCAGGGGCCCAAGGCCACGGGGCAGAGTGGCTGCCTACTGACGGCTGGGGCTGAGGGCTGGTGCGGGCATGAATGTGCCCGCTGGTGGCGCTGCTCCTCCGAGCTTCAGTCGCCCTAACCAGAAAAAGGGACCGCCACCTCTCTCCTAGATGGCAGCTTCAAAATCAAAGCGCCTAAGTGAGGGAGACATCCAGCAGACACATGTCAATGCCCCCTTTCTCCCTGCACGCCTGCCCACCGCCCCGAGGACCTGGGAGCCGGCGCGTGGGGCAGCAGCATGGGGACCGGTCAGCGGCGCCTCCCACAGGCTGGCACATCAGAGCCTCACCACACGCTCTCTCACTGAACCCTCACAACCACCACGACACAGGCATTTGTTTACCTCTTGCTCTAGATGAGGAAATAGGTTCAGGGAAGACTGGCAACTTGTCCCGTGTCACATCTGCCAGAGGAGCCTGCATTTTGAAGCCACACGTGCCTGAGAGAAGCTGGGCTCCTCCCGCCCCTGCCCTGCCCCACAGCTGGGGGCTTGGGGGCAGGCACAGCCAGCGCTCCCCGTGGCGGCACCTCCACCTGGGGGGCCGGGGCAGGAACAGGACACCGTCAACTTGGAACAAACTTTTATTTCTTGTGCTGGTCTGGTCAGTCCATGGCCATGGGTCAGTGGTAACTGGAAATAGCTGGAAGGAGGGGAGGTGAGGGGACCAGGAGTCCAGAAGCAGGAAGAATGGAGGACGGTTGGGGATGGGAGGGAGGCTAGGCTGAGGAAGGACCCAGCCAGCTGGGTGTCTGTCCTGGCTAGAAAGAACACATCTCCACCCACCAGTCCACCCTAAACCCAGGGGTTCCGGCCACAGCTCGGGCCAGGCTGGTCTGGGCCCCACACTGCTGTCGCTGGCCTGAGTGACCCCGACCCCGACCCCACCCCCACCCCAGGCAGTGAATCTTCCAGAGGGATTAATGGTCTGTGCTGGGCCTAGAAGAATCTTTTTCACTACCCTTACCTGCCCTTCCCACAACCCAAATGGGGCTTCCGAAACTGGGGCTCAGGCCCTTCCCTGTTGTGCTCCTGTAGCAGCCATGCTGGGGCAACATGGTGGGGCTGTAGTGGGGAAGAAGGGGTTCCAGTCCTGGCCTGGCTCAGAGGAACACCTCACACCCCCACCAATAGGAGGTGCTGGTGAGCCGGACCCAGAGCAAGCCAATCCCAGTCCAGGTCATCAGTGCCCCAAGGCCCAATAAGATTCATAGAAAGTTCAAGGGCCAGAGCCCCCAGCTCAAAATCAGCACAATGGGAGTTGCCCTGGCCTGGCCAGGCAAACACAGGATTGTCTCCAAGGGGAAAGGAAAACCACCAGCTGTCTTTGGGTCAGTGGCAAGGGTCAGAGTTAGGGGCAGGGAGGTTCCTACAATCGAAGTGCCACTCCCCTCCACACATCTACAGGCTACAGCTTAAGAGATTTTGGCATTACCTGTTTTGGGGCTTAAGGCAGGGGGGAAGGAGGAGAGAGAAAAGGAGGCCACCACTCTCCATTCTGCTAAAAGCCCCCCAAGTCCCAGAAGGAAGGCTTCCTGCTCTGGCAGCAGCACTTACGAAGCCCCTAAGCCCCGAGTCCGGCTCTGTGGAGGGCTCTGGGTGCAGAGGAGTGAGCACAGGGGAGGAGGGTGAGCACAGGGGAGGAGGGGGAGGAGGGTGAGCACA